CCAGGAGCAAATGGATAAAAATAGACCGGAGGAAAAAAAACATGAATCGATTCTCTTGCGGACGTATCGGTGCATCGATACAAAACCATTATTATTTACACCCCTACTGTCAAAAATAAAACCCTAGCACTGCTATAAAGAAGGAGGAGAAAGTTTATGCTAACGGCAACATCCTTTCTACCCCCAACAGATGTTTGACAGCTAAAATTCACTTTGGAGGTTGACAAACCTTCATTTTTTCTCCTCCAAAGCAAAGCTGAAACTGATGGTGGAGGAACAGAAACTTCTCATGTTGGTAAAGGGAAATTCAGAAAGCAAAGGTGCATAACTAACTGCTAAATGCTGGATCTGCAAAATAACAGGAAATCATTTCTAAATCTTGTGGCATCTGTGATGATGATTAGCCAACATTTCCTCTAACTTGTCTTTGGTTTTCATCCTGGGTTACTTTATAAAAATCAGATGAATAAAACATGTAATACATGTGATTTCCAATGTACAGAGATGTATAACTCATTTATAGGCAGGGACAATGTTGCTCTGATACGCTGTCGGTATCAGTTTGAGTAAAGTGGACATCAGCTGTGGTAAAGCTCTTTGTTTTTAGTGGAATCCAGCGTTCAGTACTGGGAGAGATTTTATGCTGCAAACACATCTTTTAAACAAAGACAGTTAAAAACCAAAGTTTTAACTTTGCTCGTGCTATAAGGTAAAATCTTTCTCCTCTACAGAGCTACTTGCTATCATGTCCGTTTCAATCATCCTTAATGTTTTGCGTACTGCCCTCCAGTTTTCTTTCATCAAATCGTCTCCTTCCAAGCAAAGCTGAGAAGTTGCCATTCAGCTAAATGAGAACTAATAACGTGAAAACTAAAATATTCTATCTAGAATTTTTTATTTACTAGCAGCATTAAGTTATTTCTGAATCTTTAAGGCAGAGGTCTTCAACAGGGGGTCCACGACCCCTAGGGGTCAACTGAGGTACTGCATGGGGTCACGAAAGTTTCGGTTGATTAGACTTTTGTTTTCTATTCCCTCCTGCAATTTTTTCCACTAATTGAAATGTCTTTAAATAAACATTAACATGAATTCAACACATTGATGTCTTTCAGTCATCAATGCTCACATTCAGCGACACACAGGAGCTCTTTCAACTAGGGCACCGTTTCATTCACAACACCTGTCCCATAGACCAGGTACGGAAGAGGATTAGGGCCACTGGAAAAAAAAAAAGATAAATTTTATTTCTGTTTAGAATTCTGACTTTTTTTATTGTCAGAATTCAGTCAGAATTCTGAGAAAATAGTCAGAATTCTGACTATTTTCCCATACTAAACTGAAATAAAATTTAAAAATCAGTTAACTTTTTTTTTTTTTTTCCAGTGGCCCTAATCCTCTTCCGTAACCAGGAATCAGAATCAGAAATACTTTAATATCCCAGGGAGAAATTTCTTTTACTACATTACTCCATCTTTAATAGAGTGACTATAGGATCAGTTGGATATAAGACAATGTCATACAGTATATATAATAAATAGGGGGTCCCCGCTCCATCTCGCCATCAGTTTGGGGTCCCTAGCCTGGAAAACTTTGAAGACCCCTGATTTAAGGTGTAAACCAGGGGTCACCAACGCGGTGCCCTCAAGGACCACATGGGGGGCCCTCAGAGTCTTCTAAATAAAGAACAACCCACCAGTGGGCTAAGTTTGAAATGTTATTTTATTCTGTTGCTCTTCTTTTTAATCATTTATAGAGATTTCAAAATGACAATGTCTAAATAAACTTAGAAATTAACAGAAACAATAAAAATATGTTGATATTGAGCAAAGTTTAGGCTAACGCTAACCCTTGCAGCTCATGGGTCAGTAATGGTCGCCCTTCCTACGTCTCGGTACCCTTGAAGTGGCCCTCAGCCTTAAAAAGGTTGGTGAGCCCTGGTGTAAATAATCCAGACCGGACTCTGGATTGATTGTTTTTCTGCGGTTTTATTTCTCTGACCTGGCATTTCTTCTCAGTCAGGCTCCACTTAAGAATGAACAGCTCCCTCTTGTGGACAGTGGTGACATTACAGCCCCTAAAAAATTCCTTTTGCACACATTAATTGGATGGAACTAGTTTTAATCTTATAAACCATTAATCAAAACTAATCCCAAATTGTTTACATCCCTACTGGGATTTAATCTCGCTGTTCATTTTATAAGTTTATTCCAGTTTCCTTCATTTGTCTGCAGTATAAGAATGTGTATTAAATCAGACTAATTATTATTTTTATTTTATCCATTTAATCTTTAATTTCTAAATGTTTTGCAGATTTGTTCAACCTGCCATGAGACGGGTGCAATAATGGGTTGTTTTCTGAAGGGCTGCCTGAGAAATTATCACTACACATGTGCTATTCAGTCAGGTAAAACACCTGATATATTATCATCATTGAATCGTTGTTCCTTTACTGCTCTGCTAACATGTTGGTTCATGGTGTGTTTCTCAGGCTGCATCCTAAATGAGGAGAACTTCTCAATGAGATGTCCGGAACATAAGGTAAACAGAATTTGCTAGAACAGGACACAGTAATACAGTAAAGCTTTATAAAGCATTTGTTTAAATGTCAGACCACCGCTTTGTTAAAAAAATGGTTTATATAATATTTTTTTTAATTTTCTTTGTGAAACAGAACAAAACTTTCCCACCTGCTGCCAGACAAGACAAGACATGACACTAAAGACATGCGGGGGCCTTGGAGGTTTGCTCCTTCTCTCTTTTTAAGGCTTTATTAGCTAAAATCGGAAAATTGTAGGAACTGCTTATTTTTTTATTTCAAAGTAGCTAAATCTAGCTGAACTAAATGAGGTGTTTGCTGAAACTTAATTAGAAAAATAGATCAGGTAAAGCAAAAAGATAAATCTTAGTTGTTAGCAATTTTCATGCCAGTGCTTCTGGTATGGAGTTATTTTTTATGTTTTTATTAAATGTAAGAAACAAGGTGAAATAAAAGATAAATTGACATTTGGAAAAATAATTTCCAGGTTATTAAAGCTCCCCCAAAATTAGTTTTTACTCTCCAATATTATTTCTTTTTATTTCAAGGAGAGTGAAAACATTTTCATTCAAAAATAAAATATCTCTCAAGTCTTTGCTGTTGATTCAGGATTTTTCCCTCGATGCTGAAAATGTGTCATGGGTGAGTCTGTGTTCCTATTGGTCAGTGTCAAGTTGACAGCTCTGGGTTGCCAAGAAAAAAAAAAAAAGATTTGAGGGTGAAATTATACTTTTTGGATCTTTATCCCACTTTGAAATAATTTTCCGAATGTCAATTTATCCATCCATCCTGTTTTCATCACGCTTATCCGGAGTGGGGTCACGAGGGGTGCTGGCGCCTCGTGACCCGCCTCTCGTCCACGGGCGAGAGGCGGGGTCCAGCCTGGACAGGTAACCAGTCCATCGCAGGGCAACACAGAGACAAACAGGACAGAAATCTCCCAGAATTAGAAATGAAGGAGAATTTAGAGAAGCCGATTAACCTAAGAGTCATGTTTTTGGACTGTGGGAGGGAGCCGGAGTACCCAGAGAGAACCCACACATTCACAGGGAGAACATACAAACTCCATGCAGAAAGGCAAGGAATTCAACCCAAAACCTTCTTGCTGCAAGGCAGCAGTGCTACCCACTGTACCACTGCGCAGCACTTTTCATTTAATGAATAAATGTGTCTTTTATTCATTAAATGAAACATATTTTCTCTCACGGTTTCTTCAGTCTCAATTAAAATTAGTTTTTGCTTCTTTCTAATATATTTATTTTACTTTTAAAATTATTTTCATCCTTTCAGGTCGTCTTTTTTCTTAAATATTATAAAAACAAAAATAACTCCATATTTTGGTTGCTTTTTAAAATCTCGGCTTCAACTAAAGATGTCCAACGATTATGGCTGCAGTTCCTTATGCAGGCACAAGGGGGCAGCATCAGATTCTTGATCAGAGAACTTTGCAAGAGGCTGATATTCTAGGACTTTAAGACTTCAGTTTAAAAAAAAATGCTCATCAAGAGGTGAAACATTTGCTGGATCAGTAATCTAATGACATAATTTTTATTTTTTTATTTTTATTTTTTTTTTTTTTACAAACAGCATTTCACTGATAGGCAGCAGTTTATCTTTACTCTAAACTGAACATGTAATCATAACCTCTATGACTCTCTGAGGCATGCTGGGTAAAATCATGGTCCAATCGGCCCAATAGTTGTTTTTGGGCCGATTGTTTTGCTTCCTTCATGGATGTTGTCTCATTTCTGCAGAAATCTTTTTACAGAGCCTGTTAGATACAGTAGCTCCTTACAGGAGATTTTCAGGTGCTGCTTTCCTGTGTTGGAACCAACCCTGATAAAGTAGCTCCTTATGCACTAATCCAGACATCCTACCTTAGAAACACGAGTTAAGCTGTAAGTTTCCCTGACCTGCTTGTTTTTTCTGTTGTTCTCTCCTCCCTTCCAGAACGCTCCACTGATCTCCTCAGGGTGTGACTACAGCTGCGCGGCTTCACCTTTTCACACTTTTCTAATCCTAATGAACTCGAGCAGAATTTCGGACGGAGGCCGGACCTTTCAGTAAGGCTTCCCGGCTTCACTTGTCACGACTGATTCAGGGTCCACTTAATTTATTTTCACGTATTCCCCCTTTTGTTTTCTTCCCTTCGTGTTCTTCTTTAATGTTTCGCACACTTACTCACATTGACTACAGGTGTTTGCATTTGTTCCTTTTCTTGGAGATTCTTCCTTCGACTAGCTGCTAACAACTACATTTTAATAAGTGAACATAGATGTTATATCAGAGTTTTATCGACCTCTTGCATAGAACACGTCTCATGCAAGAGGCCACTTTTCTACAAGTTTTTTGTACAACTTTTTTATTCCTTTTAATGCTTTGGTTGTATTTATTTCCCTTCTGGTTGCATGCGCAGCTGAACTTTGCTGCATTGCACTTTATACTATAGTTTTCTATTAGTTATTTAAACCTGTTCCTTCTTTTTCTACTAAAATTATTTAAATCTGATATAAAGCTGCACTAAGCTACAGTTAATCTGTAAAATTATTTAGAGTTAATGTCTGAATATAGAAAATCCTCCTGTCCTTGTTTACTAATACCTTCTGTTCATTCGGGCATAAAATGTTTATTTAGGTTGATTTTCTCCTCACTGGATGTAGAAACTTGATGGCAAACGGCTCTTTAAGTGTTTGGTGATTATTGAGGGAATGAAACTGGAAACTTCTTTTATTATAAGGAGTTTTTTTTAAATATATTTTAAAACGAGCACAGAAGTGCTTTACTGAAGGTAGATACCGGCTTCTCAACCGGAATATGTTGGTGGTTTTCACTACAATTAAAGCTTTGAGCTCTAGGCTAATCCGAAATAGAAGCAATTATAATTTCTTTTTATAACGTTTTGGGTTTTCTTCATATGAATAATTTAAAACTCTTTGCAGGTTTGATGTTTGTTTAAATAAATGAAAATGATGCCCGAATTATTTAAGTCCTGAAGAGAAGTAAAAAAAATCTCAGTTATCTAATGATTCGCCTTATGAGCGGAAAAATTGTCCCATATTTGTGACTTTTTTTTAGACGGATGTGATTTGGGATTAAATTAATTGAGAATTTTTAGCTTAATCTATTCAGAAATCTGTATCCGGCTCATCTGCTGAATATCACTGAATTTAAGATGTAAACTTTGTTAAATGAATAAAATTTTAAGAGGTGAGTGAGCATGCTTTGTGTTGGTGATGAACAGGAAATAAAGGGGGAGGGGTTTGTGTTGGGTGGGGTCACTTTTTATGTATTTAATGAACCAGAAAATAATCTAATCAGACGTCAGAAAGATCAAAGTTGCCCCGTTGTTTTTCTGCATCACTATTTTAGAGTGAGATCAAGTTTTTCCAGGAAGGTTTGGTGAAGCAGGTAGCAGTAGTCAGTAGCTTACATTCAGTCTCGCTTCCTAATGTGAACGTTTTCAGCCAGTTCAGAATTTCAGTGTTGGACCAATAAAAGCTCATATTCTGAACACCCATTCAGTTAATATGAAGGATATTGAAAAGTTCATTTTTTTCAGTTACTTTTTTACTATTAGAATATAACAGCAGGAAAACATTCAAAAGATTTAAGAAATAAAGGGCATAATGAAAAATGTTTAAAAACCCACTTAAAGGCTATTTCCAAAGGTAAAACAAGCCTCATCTGATCATGTATTTTAATTAAGGAAATGTTCGATATAAAACTAAACCAGTAACTCCCAGCGGCTAAAGCTAACTGTAGAGGGACCACAGACTTATGTAAATAAGTTACAGAATAAACAACATGACAAAAGTTTCCACATTCAATAAAATGACATTTACTGTTGTGCTGTTTTTCAGGTCAGAGTTTCAGAAGGTAGAAGTCTGTTTGGTCTCACACTGCAAAAAACATCTAGAAATAAGTAAAAAATGTCTCAAATTAAGTGTATTTACCCTTAATTTGAGCAGGTAAATAAGACGATCTGCCAATGGAATGAAATAATAATTAAAATAATATAATTAGATAATATACACTTGAAATAAGACAAAGCAATTGTTTTTTTCTTATTTTAAATGTAAATTGTCTTTCTTCCATTGGCAAAGTGTCTCACTTAGCTCCTCAATTCAAGAAAAAATGCACTTAATTTGAGCAAAAATGACTTATTTAGATTTCCATTTTTTGCAGTGCTGGCTTAAAATGAAACTGCTTGTGATTGGCTACTTTTCAGGAAACTCCGCCTCTTGAGACAGTATTGTTTTCCTTCTGGCTGCGGCTAGTAACCCTAGCAAAGCATCTTTATGCGAGTTCGTCCTGCAACCGGATGGTTGTCAGTTGAAGCCCCAGCTCTGGCTTTCAGTGTCGTTGTTTCCTTGGGCAAGACACATCACCTGCATTGCCTACTGATGGTAGTCAAAGCGCCTGGTGGTGTCAGTGTAGGGCAGCCTTGCATCTGTCAGCGAGCCCCAGGTCAGCTGTGGCTACAATGTAGTTTACCACCATCAGTGTGGGGGGGCCCTGTCACACCTTGCACTTAACGTATGTCAACCATCATAACTTATCCAATGTTTGGCAGCGTTTTTTGCCAGATTTGTTGTAGTCAGCCATACTCTGGCTAAATCATCAAGGTGTGACGGGGGCTTGAGTGAATGGCTGAATGTGGTTTAAAGCGCTTTGGTAAAGTCTTCTGACTTGAAAAAGCACCATTTAAGTACAGGCCTTTTAACTGCTGTTCTATTAAACAATTAAAAAGTGGTTGAATGATGTCATCTAGAAAGATTAACTTTGCAACCTTGTATGAGCTAAGCTAGCTTTAGCTTCATTGTTTATATTGAGGATACAATCAGTTCCAGCTGCTGTTAAGCATTTCTCCTTCTGTCTCCAGCATTTTCTTTTAAATTAAGTTTTCAGTTGATCAAAGAGACGACAGTTCGATATAAAGGCGGAATATAACTCTTGAAGAAAAAACAGCGATTAGCCCAAAGATGCTTTGCTAATGTTGCAAGCCGCGACTAAAAAGGAAACGGTGCTGCCTCAAGAGGTGGGATTTCCTGAAAAGTAGCCAATCACAGGTGGTTTACCTTTCTCTGGTTGCTTCCAACCTCCAATGAAAAGTTAACATTAGTGCAAAGAAACAGATCCACACTGAATCTACTGGAGCATAAAAAGCAAGCGGGGCAGTGAAGGAGCATCTAGGAACTCATGGTGTTGAATCTGCACAAATAAAATGTTTAAAGGAAAAGTCTGCACATATTCAGGATTCAAACTTCTGAAAGTACTTTAAATATGAAATTATTACATCCTGTTCAAAAAAAATGGTAAGTGTTTTAATTTAGAGCGTTTTTCATTTTAATATGCTCTACTAGAGACAACCATGTTTGTCAAAGAACACTACTGCCACCAACTGGTTAGTGACGTCACGGTGCGGTATCGGCTGTTGATCAAGTCCCAGTGCTGTAGCTGTTGTTTTGGCTCAACTCCCTCTTCAAGTTGGCGATCCAACGACCAACCCGTCCGTGGAGGATCAGGAATCAGAAAGGTGGAATAACTCTTTTTTTTCACTCTTCCCCGATGTATT